AAAAACGATAAGGTAGAAACAAGCACGCTTTTAGCTCGCTTGATTTCAATGAAGTATAAGGGCAAAGGAAATATCAGGGAGTACATTATGGAAATGTCTCATATTGCTTCAAAGCTTAAGGCACTTAAACTCGATCTTTGTGACGAGTTATTAGTGCATCTGGTTTTGTTGTCTCTTCCTGCACAGTTTAACCAATTTAAGGTCAGTTATAACTGTCAAAAGGAGAAATGGACTCTAAATGAGCTCATTTCATACTGTGTGCAAGAAGAAGACAGGTTGAAGCAAGATAAGACAGAAAGTGCTCATTTGGCCTATGCCTCTAAGGATAAGGGCAAGAAAAGGAAGAATGATAAGGAAGCTGCTAAGGGTCCAGTTGAGAAGAAACAACATAAGGATAATCAGGGTTGTTTCTTCTGTAAGAAGCCTGGACATGTAAAGAAGGACTGTACAAAATATCACGCCTGGCGTGATAATAAGGGTACGTTCCTTGCTTTGGTCTGTTCTGAGGTTAATTTAGCTTCAGTACCTAGAAACACTTGGTGGTTAGACTCTGGTGCTACTACTCACATAAGTGTTTCTATGCAGGGTTGCCTGAGCTACCGAAAGCCAAGTGATGTTGAAAGACACATCTTTGTGGGCGACGGACAATCGGTAGATGTGGAAGCAATTGGGCACTTTAGGTTGTTGTTAGGAACTGGTTATTATTTGGATTTAAAAGATACTTTTGTAGTACCGTCTTTTAGACGGAATTTGGTTTCTGTTTCTGTATTGGACAAATCAGGTTATTCTTGTTCATTTGGAAACAGTCAATTCAGTTTATCTTTTAATTCAAATGTTGTGGGAACCGGTTACTTGAGTATTTATGACAACCTATATTTGCTTGATACAATTGCTTCTTACAATGAATCCTTGCATGTGGAATCACGTGGTACTAAGCGTAAATTAAATAAGGAAAATTCGGCGACATTATGGCATAAGCGCTTAGGTCATATCTCAAAAGGTAGAGTTGAGCGTCTTGTGTCTGATGGCATTTTGGATTCCCTTGATTTTTCGGACTTCGACGTATGTGTTGAATGTATCAAGGGAAAACAGACCAAAGTGAAAAGATTAGGTGCCAACAGATCTTCGGATGTCTTAGAATTGATACATACGGATATTTGTGGGCCATTCCCTACGGAATCCTGGAATGGTCAACAATATTTTATATCATTCATAGACGATTACTCACGTTATGGGCACCTATATCTTATTCATGAAAAATCTGAGTCTCTGGACATGTTCAAAGCCTATAAAGCTGAAGTTGAGAATCAACTCAACAGAAGAATTAAAACCGTCAGATCTGATCGTGGTGGTGAGTACTACGGTAGATATGATGGTTCAGGTGAACAACGTCCAGGACCATTTGCTAGATACCTAGAGGAATGCGGTATCGTCCCACAGTACACCATGCCGGGTTCACCTAGCATGAATGGTGTAGCTGAAAGACGAAACATGACTCTTAAGGATATGGTAAGAAGTATGATTGATCATTCTTCTTTACCAGAGTCACTCTGGGGAGAAGCACTTAAGACAGCAGCTTACATTCTGAATAGAGTACCAAGTAAAGCGGTTGCTAAAACACCTTATGAGCTTTGGACTGGTCGAAAGCCCAGTTTAAAGCATTTACATATTTGGGGATGTCCAGCTGAGGCAAGGCCTTATAGGCCGAATGAAATGAAATTGGACTCCAAAACAGTTAGCAGCTACTTTATTGGATACTCTGAACGCTCTAGGGGCTATAAGTTTTATGATCCCACTATAAGGAATATTTTTGAGACGGGAACAGCAACATTCTTTGAGGATGTTGAGTTTGGGGGGAGAAATAAGGTTAGAAACATTGCTTTTGAGGAGGAATTGGCTTCAGATCCAATCCATACAGTTACTTCTGATAATATTCAGGTTCCTATACCTGTTGTTGCTCAAGAAGTAAATCCGGAACCTCAAGATGACAATGTTGAACAACTCCCTGTTCCAGAAGAACAAACTCAACAACCTCAAGAACCAGTGCCATTAAGGAGATCCACGAGAGAAAGGAGAAATGCTATTTCGGATGATTATATTGTATTTCTTCAAGAACATGAGGAAAGTAGTGGAATGTTAGAAGATGATCCAATCAACTTCTCTCAGGCCATGAAAAGTTCTAACTCTCAACAGTGGATTGATGCCATGAATGAAGAGTACAAGTCTATGCAAGACAATAAGGTTTGAGAACTTGTCCCATTACCAGAAGGTGCAAAACCAATTGGTTGTAAATGGATTTTTAAGACCAAACGGGATGCAAACGGTAATGTGGAGAGGTATTAGGCACGTCTTTTGGGTTAATTCGGTATTTAAATAAGTCATGGGGTTATATGTGCAGATACCAGGTTGTAATTGTGATTTGTTGAGGGGCCAAATTACAAAAGTACAACATCTATAAATAAGGGGTTATGGTCCCTAACCTAGGGTTACATTCTCTAATTCTCTTCACCCCCATCTAAGAGAGAAATTCGGCTATAGAGAAACCCTAAGGTTAGAAGATCCAAAACCCATCTAAGGTTCATCTATGGATTCAGGTATAAGCTTCCGCTCTTTTGATTCTTGTTAATCTCTTCGAATTAATCATGGCTATATGGTTTTAGATCTCAAGTTTTATTTAGATCTAACATGAACAATTTAGTGTTAATCTATTTTATCATGAGTTTGGGTTTTTTTAAGTGAGTATTAGATTTAAACTCATTAAGAAATGGATCAAGGAAAATACTAGAACAAATTTTCAATATTTGTGGGTAAAATATAAAAAAACCCAAAAGAAAGGTGCTATATTGATTCTGACAATGGCAAAGAGGTCACACCGATATCACATGTGGATTGATCTATAAATTACATAATTTTAACAATAAGAAAAAAATAGAATAAAAAATTGAAGGCCTGTTTGTGGGGGGAAAAAGCAGGCGAGGCTTTTTGGATAGGCCTAAGCATCATTCTTCAACTAGATTTGATCTAAATAGGAGGAGAAGAAATGGTTTTTCTGATGAATCACATAAGAAAGTAGGACAAATTAAGAGAAGAAGCTGTAATTGATTAAACAAAAACCAACCACTTGCTCCATTCTAAATAACACATTGACAAACATTGCAACTGGGTACACTGAGCACTTCATGTAAAGGGTTGTTTGGTTGTCCAACAAGTCAAAGAAAACTATTGTCGATATATTGTCTTTTTCTTTGTTCGGTTCTCACCTTGAAAAAGAAAAGAAAAGAAAAGAAAAAAGAATGATGCAACATTTTCTTATTGGATGATGTAATCCATGGTTTACGAAACTGGATCCAAATTTTCTTAAATTAGATGGTAATCAGAGAGGATCCAAGATATTTACCATGTAGGACTGTCACTATCATAGAAGTGATTTTCACAACAATAGTTTTCAAAATAATTGTGGTTTTCAAGATGACAATGAAATCTTGCTTGGCATATATAATCTTTCTTGTCCAAATTAGAATACATAGCTAGGATCATGGTAATTGAATGCTCTCTGATTTCTACTTAATTAAAGCGGATCTAAGTCTGAGAATCGCGGGTGACTCTAAAGGTTAGAAGGTTTCGACATGGCTCCTAAACTTTTGGGTTCGATTCCTATAATAAAAAATAAAAAATCTTAGTCCTTACAAAAACTATTTCACGAAGGTTTTTGAGGAAAAGAGGGAAAAGGTTTATTATGATAGTTTCTCTCATATTTTCTTTTTGTCTAACAAACCCAACTAAACTCGCCCTAAGTTAAAAAGGATAAGTTGCATCACACGGGCACTATTTTGGTTGTTATCCCAGTGGGTAAAACGATGTGCGGGCCCATTGAGGGACTGGAGTTCTATCAAAACCTTTTGTATAGATAATAGATAGATTATGCATTACATGGGCAAAATTCCTATAGGCTTGATTCTAGGCTGTAAATCAGCCCATTGGGTGCTGCAAATGTAAGCCTTAAACATCTTTTTCAGACTACAGCCCACATATAGAACGGTTCATAATGGGCATGAAAGCCACTTCCTTAAGAGTCCCATAGGATACAATATAAATAATCTCGATGTTTACCGACCCTCAGTTTGAGGAGGGAGGTTATCCACAATTTACCGAAGATATAAGTGTATACGCGCAGCGCATGTGAGTCTGATTGAGTTCTCTCAGAACCGCTCGTTCATACGTGACAAATGGCCAATTTGTCACACGTAGAGTTCAGAACCGCTCGCTCACATGTTGATAGGTTCGAAAGGATTCATATAGAGTTTACACTTGCATGTGAAAACATGTGCATATCGTACCAAAATCCCAACTTCTAAGAGAGGCTAACGAGTTAACCCATGAAGTGGTGGAGCTAAATTTTTTTTTTCCTTTTTTACTCCTAGCGGTGTTCCCATATAATTTACCATGATTGTGTTTAGAATTCGCATTGATAGTTTTAGAATTTTATTCAATCTAGTGGTGCCATATCCAAATTTAGTACTGTTGTTCTAAGTAACAAATGCAAGTGAAAAGTAAATAACAATAAGAATAAATAAGACAATCCAGTGATATTCTGTGACGCGCTACTAGTCAATATGTGACTTAGCCACCGACCGCACATGTATAAAAAATCAATACAAACCTAGTCAAAGACTGAACAACCACTAGTAGAAAACTGAGCAAACTAGACGGAACAAACTAGACGGAATTTTTTTCCGTCTAGTTTGAGGCAAACTAGACGGAAAAAATTCCGTCTAGTTTGTTCCGTCTAGTTTGAGACAATCTAGACGGAAATTTCCGTCTAGATTACCAAATTAGACGGGGTAATTATTTTTTAAGAATTTCTATCAACCTAGACGGAAATTCCGTCTAGTTTGCATCAACCTAGACGGAATTTCCGTCTAGTTTGTGGGGAAAAAAATAATAGAAAACCCTAATGTTTCCGCACCCCACCCCCAATCTCTCCCTCTCAAATTTTCAGAATATCCGCGCCCCCCCTCCCTCGCCTCCCCCATCTCTAAAATTTTTAGAATTTTCGCGCCCTAGCAAACCCTAATGTTTCCCCACCCCACACCCCCAATCTTACCCTCTCAAATTTTCAGAATATCCGCTCCCCCCCTCTCTCACGCCGCCCCATCTTTCCCTCTCAAATTTTCAGAATTTTCGCGCCCTCCCCCCACCTCCTCCGCCCTCTCCGCCGCCCCGCCCCATCCCTTCCTCTCGAGCTTTCTCTCTCCTCTAGCTCTCGCCAAATCATCTCCTCATCAGATCACTGTAAGCTCTTTCTAGAACCCGATTTAGGGCTTTGAGCTCTTGATTCCTCTTTTGATGTGCTAACGTCATTCAAACTGATGCAGGACCAAGAGATCAGAGAGAAGATGCCGACGTCGAAAGGTATCAGCTTTCTCAATTTCGCCTCGTTTTCTTGTAAAATTGTGTAATTGGATCGATAAAAATTGAATCTTTGTGGTTTGTCGGTGAAGTGGGATGTGGGGATGGAGGTGTAAGTCGTCGGTGATCAAGAAGGAGAACTGTGTGCTTCGATGTCTATCGCCTACTTGCTATTCTCTCGTCTACGAGAGTGATCCTGTAATTTTTTTTACTGTTTTTCCCCCTAGGGTTTATTTGATTGATTTGTGTAGCGTTTATTCGACTGGATTTGGTAGAAACTGTATATTATCACTTCGCTTGTTGATTTGTGGCTTTATAGGCTTGAAGACGGCCGAGAAGGTTTATGTTCCGTAGCATGCAGTCACAAATTCTGCATGCGCAAGTAAGTGAAATTCCTTGATTAGTAATTGTACTAGAACAATTTGCAGCAACGATATGTGTCCATGAGGAAATTTTTCAAGAAATTCTAGTTTGAGAGAAATTTGCAAGAAGTGAAAACAAGCATATCCTTCAGAGAGCACACAAATAATATGAACAAAACATTCAATGCAAAAGAAAATAGACCTGGCACTTGGAAAGCCAAAAACACTTCGTTCACTTCTTATCCCCTTGGCTATGTATCTGTTAAAAGTTAGCAATCATATCTAGTATAATGTTATATTATTGTGCTTATGTACTGTGAGATTCAATTAGTTGATGAAGTTTATTTATGATAAAGCATTACTGCTTCTGCTTGAGTTAATTTTTGCTGTTTGCTTGTACATCAACCACATGCTAATTATTTATTACATGTGAGCTGTTTGGCCATTGCTGTCGGCTTTTTTAGATAAGCTTAGTATGATTCCTTTGCTATACCCTTCTTTAGCCTTCATGTAAATTGATATTTGCCTGCCTGGACATATCTGTTGTTTGGGCCATTCGGTTGTTTATGCTTAGTAGTTCTTTGTTTTGTGGTTATATCAGTTCGTATGAGTTTAGGGCTTGTACTCTTCTTTTTGGTGTATATTCCAATACTATTACTCAAGATAGGAGGTGTGGATTGGTCTTGCGATACTATGTTTAGAGCTATTACTGTCAGTATTCTTGTGCATAGTGCCAAAAACACCATCATGAAGCTATTCATGGTCACCTGCATCTGGGTATGCTTTATTGATACTCTTATTTGTGTCTATTCTTAGGATTCAAAGCTGTCATTTTCCCATGTTTGGTGTTCCGAACTCAACTTCTGTTCGACTCAATTATTAACTTTTTGGCGTTTTCTTATGTACGAACCTTGCACTTTGTTCATATTGTCTGCCTGTCCGTATTCATGTCTTTACATGAGTTGCATATATGGATAGTTTGTGAGGATGCCATGGATGCTCATGACTGAATTCAGCTCTAGTAACTGCTGCTATGATGCTTGTGTGCTTTGCGCCTGTGCAAGGCTGTACTTACTTGATTCAGCATTATTTGTTTTTTAACAATTTTGTTAACATATTAATTGTTGTAATGTTTTTGTTACATAGTTCATGTTGTGTTCATCCTTTACTTAAAGGAATTATATTCGATAACTGACATGGATAAATTCTCTCTCAGTTTGAAGATACAGAGAACAAGCATATTTTCAAGATGAAAGCTCATATTTTATTTTCGCCTCAGAATCTTGGAGTCGTGTTCATAAGTGTATGACGTAGGTGTGGGACTTCCCTCCAAGAGTTTTGACGTAAAGCTTCGGTTCCTCCCACTGACTGCTAATTCAGTAAGTCATTTGTCTCTTAGGCTATTTTTCTGTGAATATGATGGATCACAAAACTGTATATAATTACTTGATTTTTTGAGACCCTGTGATTAGTTCTTCTGCAAAGTTAATGCTTTCTAAGTGTATTTCATGGCATGGACTAATTGATGTTGAATTTTGCATAATGTAGGATCAAGGAGGAAGAAACATGATGCTTCAACAATTTGGAGGAGTAAATGCAATTGGATTCTATAAATTATGCAAAGTTCATCAAGTTATGTAAACAATTGTATTCTTTATAATCTATGTAAAAAATTTATGTATCTTTCTAGTATTTTGGTGAATGTATTTTTTGAATATAATTATATTTGATATTGAAATATAATTAGATTGATTGTGTTGGATATGAATATGATTTGGTGTTGTGCAATATTATGAACATGTTATATTATATGTGGGTTTTGCAAAAAAAAAAAAAAAAAAAAACTACTGTAGCAGAGCAACCTAGACGGAATTCCGTCTAGGTTGCTACTGTAGCAATCCGTCTAGGTTGGCAAACTAGACGGATTTCCGTCTAGTTTGCCAACCTAGACGGATTGCCGTCTAGGAATCTACCTAGACGGATTTTTTACTTTCGTCTAGGTTGTTTTCCGTCTAGGTTGGCAAACTAGACGGAATTCCGTCTAGTTTGCCCCAATCTAGACGGAAATATTCTAGACGGAACAAACTAGACGGAATTTCGTCTAGGTGAACCAATCTAGACGGGAAATGGAGCAATCTAGACGGAAATTTCCGTCTAGATTGCTTGTTTTTCTACTAGTGAACGATGAGCCTGTGTGACGAATTTCCCACTAGAACATGTCAATGTTTGGCCTACTGTCCCAACTTGACCCTCTCAACTCGAGCTCAGCTCGCCCTCCCTACAGACGGAGAGGATAAATGAAACAGTCCTTACATGAGATAGAAAATTGTAACCAACTCCCACGGTGAAAATATGCCTTCATCACGATATAATCTCCCCATGATCTCCCTACCTGACATAACTGTCTAAGCCAATCAGAGGGAAACACGTGGAGAATTCTATTAGAAAGAAAGCCTCCTCGTAACTAACTCATGT